GGGGGGGGGGGACATCTAAGGAGGGTACTTGCTGACTTACTTTTACTTTTTCGTCCTCGCTTTTCTGACGAACTAAATTGTTGTATTGTGTCAGTGGAGGATGGCTGCTTCTTTTGTGGGTGGTTGGTGGGTGCTGTGGTGTGGTTTGCTTCTTCTTTCCTGTCAAACATCTATCGTCTGTATCTCCCCTCCTTCTTTTTTGTGTTTGTTACTCTCTTGTAACACCTCTAAACTTCGACGCTTATATGACCTTGTAGTGTTGCAAATGCCGTAAAAGCTTTTGCTAAAACTAAAACCTAAAAGTCGTGTACTGGCCTTTTCCTCGCAGGTTCTGATGAAGAGATAGAGGACCTGAAGAATGCCTACCTGGCAAGCGAAGGCGATATGTCCGTTGTCATGGATACGGTTCTGTGCTGCACCTACGAGGACGAGCCTCGCTTTACGAAAATCCTCAAGGATCTCATCAAGAGCGGGGACCTCCCAGATTTTGACAAGTTCTCGAAAGAGAACAAAAGGAGTAAAAATGGCCGGTTGAAGAAGGTGAGGAGGAGACTTTGGCCCGGTCCGTACGTCGTGTTTTACTATCGTATCCATACGACGTGGGGAACTCTGTGCCACCACTTAACCCTATCCGTACGTCGTGTTTTTGCTGTCGTATCCATGCGACATGGGGAATTTTTATTTTTTTATCGCATGTCCTGATTTTGGTGCCCATATTTGTTGTTTACGTAAGATGTATTGACATTGTGCAAATTGTTCTGTTTTCTAGAAAAACGAAACAAGAGAAAGGGATATTGTTAAGTCGGTGATGTTGATGGTAATGGTAAGTGTGATGGTGATCATGATGATGATTATTTATGGTGGCGATGATGATGTTCTGATGTTGGAAATAATGTGCATATTAGTCTTAGTGTTAAGTTTGTTTGGCGCTTACTACAGATCCCCGCCAGGCTGTGCTGGACGTGGGGAACTCTGTGCCACCACTTTCCAAAAAATGAATTAACTCGTTAATCCGATCCGTACGCTTTGCATTGCAGTCTGTCAAAATGATTTTTTCAGAAAGACTGAAAGTTTCAAGAGCTGTTCGCACTAGAAGTATTGTAAAATGTGAAGAATACAATCCAGGGCGTACGGATTGGGTTAAGATGCTATCAATAACTCCACATGTGCCCGAACACTAAGGAGAGCCTGATTCATCTGCGTCATGACACGACAATTGACACAACAATTGTACTCCATGACCAAAGTTTCTCTTTATTTTTATTTTTTTTCTCTCCAAGTAAAGTCCGTCAGTTTCAGCTCCTCCTGGTACATTCTCAGACCTGCCGACCACTCCCAATTTTCTCTTTGCCCCTCGATGAACCTCAATGCGATTTCTGTAAAATTCTTCTTTTTTTTTTAAATCTTAAATAAATACCATTTCCATTGGCCTTCAGCAACTTATCATACATGATGTGAAATATTTAGTCTTTCCCTACCTCTGTCTCTCTCTCTCTCTGTCTCTATCTCTGTCTCTCTGTCTCTGTCTCTCTGTCTCTCTGT